AACTCTCCGATCTGGGAGTCAGGCTTCACCATGCCGCCCTCAGAGGGGACCCAGCTGGTGCCCCGGCCAGGTGTGTGCCACAGCAGGCTCTGCAGGATTTCTGCTTGGCCTTCCTGACTGAGCTCAGCCCCTGCTCTGGAAAAGGGGCTGCAAATGGCACCAGTGGGGAAGTACAGAAGGGCTCAACTGGGGGTTGGAGGGCCCAGATCCCTTTTCAGGACCCACCACCTTCGACCCCTGTTCCCTGATTTTTCTGTTTGTCTCTCAGCTACAGTCAGCGCAGCGGTTGTTCCCAGTGCCCCCATCTTCAGCCCTACCATGGGTGGGGGTAGCAACAGCTCCTTGAGTCTGGATTCTGGAGGGGCTGAGCCCATGCCAGGTGAGTATTTGACCTCTGACCTCTGCTCCTTATTCACCCCTCCCCTAATCTCTCTTGCCATCCCCGAGAGACCTTGCCAACCTCCCCAGCAGGCGAGAAGAGGAAGCTCCCAGAGAACCTGACCCTGGAGGATGCCAAGCGTCTCCGCGTGATGGGCGACATCCCCATGGAGCTGGTCAACGAGGTCATGCTCACCATCACTGACCCTGCCGCCATGCTGGGGCCCGAGGTAGGCAGCCTGGCTTGCTGACCAGTGCAGGGAGGGGGCCTCACCCACCCAAGACCCTCGCTCACCACTCCTCCTTTGGTGTCCAGACAAGCCTGCTGTCAGCCAACGCAGCCCGGGACGAGACAGCCCGCCTAGAGGAGCGCCGCGGCATCATCGAGTTCCATGTCATCGGCAACTCGCTGACGCCCAAGGCCAACCGGCGGGTGTTGCTCTGGCTCGTGGGGCTGCAGAATGTCTTCTCCCACCAGCTGCCGCGCATGCCTAAGGAGTATATTGCCCGCCTCGTCTTTGACCCGTGCGTCCCCAGGAGAGCCCCAAGCCCAGGGCACCACCCTTGGGCGCCCCTCCTCCTTGGCCTCCCCATTCTTCCCTGGGCTTCTTCGTCCAACCTTTGGGAATTCTTCCTCCTCAGTTCCCGGCACTGAGTACTGCTCAGGCCCCCAGGGCCGTGGGGACCTGGGGAGCATTTAGGGGACAGGTCAGGGCTGTGACCTGTTCCCTCTCCCCTCAGGAAGCACAAGACTCTGGCCTTGATCAAGGACGGGCGGGTCATTGGTGGGATCTGCTTCCGCATGTTTCCCACCCAGGGCTTCACGGAGATTGTCTTCTGTGCTGTCACCTCCAATGAGCAGGTCAAGGTGAGTGCGTCCGCGTGGCCCCAGCCCCATCCCACCCCCTGCTTCTGAGTTTGGACCAGGTCAAAACAGCAGGCCCCCAAACTTTGTTAATGGCCGGACAGTTCCTCACACCTCCACAAGGTGGCAGTTGTACTTTGATAATTGTGGATTAAGACAACACCTGTTGACGAGTGGAGCCCAAGAATCAGCAGCACTCAAATGGTCTTGCATTTCCTTCATCGTTGGAATGTTTACATACGTTGGGGAGTTAGTACTTTTTACATTAGCCCTGTGCTGGGCGATAGTCCTGGCTTCTCTCCTTTGCTTGTCACAACAGATTCACTAGTAGGTCCCTGGTTCTCCTTTTTATGTAACCCAGGTCAGTGTGGTGCCTCACCGGTCCTGGTGTGTGTGGGAGACAGTGTCTCTTCAGAGTTCAGATGCTGCCGTGAGCAGGCCCCTTGTCGTTCCCCTTCTGCTTTCCCCCAGTTCCAAGGCCCAGGGACTGTGAACCAGTGGCCTGTGGACAACAGCTTCCTGGTTGGGTTTGGATCCTGGCCCTGCCGTGGCTGGCCGCCTGACCTTAGACACATTTCCTACATTGCTGAGTTTTGGTTTTTTATCTGTAACAGGGAGGAATAATACCTACCTCATGGGTTAATGTGAGAATTAGTCTGTAAAGCACCACACTTGGCCCAGAATAAGCGCTTAGAAATCCAGGGTCCTTCATTTTTCTCCCCATAAACTCCCCTTCCTCTGCCGGCCGCCTTTCCTCCTACCCACCCAGGATCCCCTGCTATCCCCACCTCCTCTCCAATCTTCCCTCTCTGCTCTGGGTCCTCTTGAGACCTCTCCAGTGCTGGGCCCGCGCCCCCCGGTGAGCCCTGCTCCCCTCCCCCACAGGGCTACGGGACTCACCTGATGAACCACCTGAAGGAGTACCACATCAAACACAACATTCTCTACTTCCTCACCTATGCCGACGAATACGCCATCGGCTACTTCAAAAAGCAGGTGACCCTTGCCCCACCCAACATCTGCCCCCTGCAGGGGCCAGGGGTCATTCTGTCCAGCCCACTGGTGTGGATGGAGTGGGAGTCCTTTCATGTCCCCTGCTCCATCCAGCACCTGTGGGAAAGTCCTTCATGCCTCTCTTCCTCCCTTCTGCTGCTGCCCCAGTGGAGAATTGGGCCCTGTAGGCAGTAAGGCAGTAGGGCAGGCGGCAAGAGTTGGAGGCTCTTGTCTCGTCTAGGGACGAGTCGGGAGGGGCAGCTGACCTGGAGCAATTATACTGTCAGGGACAGTATAATTGAGCCTGCACAGTGCAGAGCCCTGTGCTGGGGACTGTGGGGGCGGTTCAGGAATTGGGGAGAGGGGCCATGGCACACACTGCCCCTCAGGTGCTCCTGGGGAGGGGCAGTTAAAGCTGGAAAAAACCTTGCTGATGGATTAGGTCATAACTGTCCCCTCCCTAGGGCTTCTCCAAGGACATCAAGGTGCCCAAGAGCCGCTACCTGGGTTACATCAAGGACTACGAGGGTGCGACACTGATGGAGTGTGAGCTGAATCCTCGGATACCCTACACGGAGCTGTCCCACATCATCAAGAAGCAGAAGGAGGTTTCTGTGTGTGTGTGTGCATGCGTGCACATGCTCGTGCACTCGTCCATGGGGCTTTTCGTGAATGTGCAAGTGGTGAACACACACCTGGATGGGTACCACGTGTACATTCGTGTGCATGTGTGAGGTGGGGACGGGCCAGGACCTTGGTTCTTGCTCTGCCTCTTGGGGAAGTTAGGAGGGGAGGTGCAGGACCCAGTGGCAGGGGCTCCAACTGTGGCCCTGGGAGGGCTGGGGCTGGCCCCTCAGACCCTTCCTTCCCTCAGATCATCAAGAAGCTGATTGAGCGCAAACAGGCCCAGATCCGAAAGGTCTACCCCGGGCTCAGCTGCTTCAAGGAGGGTGTGAGGCAGATCCCTGTGGAGAGCGTCCCCGGCATTCGTGAGCAGGGTCTTGGCGGGGGAGGGGGCGCGCCACTTGGCGTGTGTTCGGGTGTTCTTAGGGATGTTCTCCCCACTCCCCACTTTGCAGGAGAGACAGGCTGGAAGCCACTGGGGAAGGAGAAGGGGTGAGTGTTGTGTGGAGGGAGAGGTTGTTGGGGGAGGCAGAGGGATCAGGAGCCGCAGACTTGGCAGACTTGGCATCTCTCATGCTAGGAAGGAGCTGAAGGACCCTGACCAGCTCTACACAACCCTCAAAAACCTGCTGGCCCAGATCAAGGTGGGGAGACCAGGTTCCCTTCTGGGGGTCCCTGCGCCAGTGGCTTTGTGACCCATTGTGGGGTGGGTGGCAGTCATGAGCTGGGTGTGGGGCACAGTGGGCCTGGCCGCAGCTCAGCTCTCCTCTCCAGTCACACCCCAGTGCCTGGCCCTTCATGGAGCCCGTGAAGAAGTCGGAGGCCCCAGACTACTACGAGGTCATCCGCTTCCCCATCGGTGAGGACGCTCCATTCCGACCCCTTTCTTCCACTTCTTCCCCCAAATCGACTCCTGCTCCTGCCTTCACTGGGCCACACAGCCCCCGGTGCCCCACCCCGGCAGTTGGCCCCGCTCTCCTCAGTCTCATAAAGGTGTGCCCCTTCTCTCCTGCTGCCCAGACCTGAAGACCATGACGGAGCGGCTGCGTAGCCGCTACTACGTGACGCGGAAGCTCTTTGTGGCTGACCTGCAACGGGTCATCGCCAACTGCCGCGAGTACAACCCCCCGGACAGCGAGTATTGCCGCTGCGCCAGTGCCCTGGAGAAGTTCTTCTACTTCAAGCTCAAGGAGGGGGGGCTCATCGACAAGTAGTCTGCTTTGGGCTGCACCTCCACCTGGAACGTCTCCACCTCGGGTTCTGAGCTGGCCCCAAGTCCCCCTCAGCTTGACACCCTCCAGCCAGGGCCCCTGCAGCCCTTTCAGGACCTTCGGGCACCCGAAGCTTGCGGCTCTGTCCTACCCTTCGTTGTGTCTGACCTTGGGGAGGGGTCTCCTGGGTCTGGGGCCCAGCCCCTCTGGAGTGGCTGGTGGCCCCCAGGCCTGGTCCCCGTGGAGCTGTGGAGTCTTAGAGGCCAGGGCCTGGCCCGGGTCGCTGTTTTCTCAAGGGCAGGACTGCCAATTTAGGCTTGAGTGAGGGGGCTTCAGGGGTTAGAAGTTCAACCTGGACTGGAGGGGCCGTGCCTCACCCTGTACTGTTCTGTCTGTCCCCCAGGGGTGGGGGGGCATGGGGACCATTCATTTCCTGGCATTAATCCCATAGAGGGAACAATAAAACTTTTTTTCTTCTGTGTGATTGTTTCTTGGGTAGAGTCCCCAGGCATAGCAGGCTGACCCTGTTCCCGCCAGTACCTCCTGCAGGCTGGAGCCTTTTAAGCCCCAGGTTGTGCTGGGGTCACCCTCCCCTGCAAGCCTCATGCCTGGTTCCAGGCCCCTGGGGTGATGGGGTCTGCCTGGCTGTAGCCCTCTGCTTTTCCCTGCTCCTGGTCCAGGTGCCAGGGCGGCAGTGGTCAGAGTCTCCACCTGGCTGCCTTTATCTGGGTGGACAGGGTTACAGCTGACTCCAAAAGGGGCGGGGGGAGGGGCGGGGGTGGGAGGGTGTGGTGGAGACTCCGCTTTCCTCTCAGCGTTTCTGTCCCCTTGCCAAAGTGCAAAAGGAGTTTTCTCTGCGGGGCGGGGAAGGGAGGTTCCTGAAGTCAGGCTCTGGCTGGGCTGGCTCCTCCCCTCAGTTTCAGTTTCCATTTTCCATCTCAGCAGAGCCCGGCAGCATCTAGCCTGGGCTAAATAAACAGCAGACCCAGCGAGCTGCCCTCAGCAGGTGGTGCAGGTAAGAGCGGGCTGGGCAGGAGTCTGGTGTAGTGGGTGTTACTCCTGCCTCCCCTCTTGCCAGATCAGGTTCCTGGTGCGTCCTTCCAGTGCCTTGCCCCATCTCCCTCAAGTGGGATGGAGTCCTGGGCAAAGGGAGCTTTCTGCACCAGACTGGGCTGGCCGGGAGGGGGGAGAGGGGTGGGGGAGCGTGGTCTGAGTCCCCTGCCATTCCCAGAATGGAGCTGCGACCCTACCAGTGGGAGGTGATCATGCCTGCCCTGGAGGGCAAGAATATCATCATATGGCTGCCCACGGGCGCTGGGAAGACCCGGGCAGCTGCTTATGTGGCCAAGAGGCATCTAGAAACTGTGGATGGAGCCAAGGTGGTTGTGTTGGTCAACAGGGTGAGTGGTTTGCCCTCCCTTCAGTGGGGAGTCAGCTCCTCCAGTGCCTCGAGAGCCTCCAGAACTCCAGAGCTGCTGTGGCCATCTCTAAGCTCACCTGTCTTTTCACCCATCCCAGTCCTTGCCTCCTCCCCACCCCACTTGCCCCCGATCCAGCTTCCTCTCCCCATCTCATTCTCCACCCCCAGGTGCACCTGGTGACCCAGCATCGTGAGGAGTTTAGCCGCATGCTGGGCAAACGCTGGACCATTACAACCCTGAGCGGGGACATGGGGCCACGAGCTGGCTTTGGCCACCTGGCCCGGAGCCATGACCTGCTCATCTGCACGGCTGAGCTGCTGCATATGGCACTGACAAGCCCCGAGGAGGAGGAGCACGTGGAGCTCAATGGTGAGAGCTGTGGGCAGGGGAAAGGGTTGCACCTGAGGCACCCCTGCCTGCCACCCCCAGGGCACTTCTAGTAAAGATGTTGGGACATTTTGTGGGAGTGAGGGGTTCCCCATTCACCAAACCCCAGCATACACCCTAGTAGAAACAGACCTGGCTGCGGTGCAGGATCTTGGGCAAGTCCCTTCCCCCAGCTGAGCCTCAGTTTACTAATCTGTGAAATGGAGGTAAATTACCCCTGCCTGGCCCGTTGTCTGGGGACTGGCTGCAAGTTGTGAAGGGAGGAAGTTCTCAGATGAGTTGCAGGGACTACATGAAATGAAACTTATAGGAGGAAGGGCTTTCAGACATGGGTCACAGCCTTCCCGCCTTGTGCCCCCAGCCTTCTCCCTGCTCGTGGTGGACGAGTGTCACCACACGCACAAAGACACTGTCTACAACATCATCCTGAGCCGGTACCTAGAGCAGAAACTCCAGAGGACACGGCCCCTGCCCCAGGTGCTGGGTCTTACAGCCTCACCGGGCACTGGTGGGGCCTCCAAGCTCAAAGGGGCCATTGATCACATCCTGCAGGTCAGCTTGGCCCCTGCAATCCTCCCTCCTCCTAACCCCGCAGGAGCTCCCTGGCCTGCCCTACCCTGTGCCCACCAGCCCTACCCAGGCTCCCCCAGGCAGGGTCTGGGCCCCTTCCTCCCCTAAGCGCCAGCCTCCAGTGGCTTCTTATTGCACTTAGAATAAACTGCCAACTCTACTCTGTTCCATGTGACCTCGCCCCAGCCTGCCTCTCCAGCCTCACTTCCTCCTGCCTCACCCTCACTCCCAGACACTGGCCTTCTCTCTGTGTTGCAAGCATGTCAGGCTATTCCCATCTCAGGACCTTTCCACTTGCCATTCCTTTTGCCCTGAATGCTCTCCCCCCTGCACTTTACCTGTCTGGCTCCTTCTTGTCATTCAGGGAACAGCTTAAATGTCACCTCTCCCAAGTCTTGCCTGATCACCCCACTGCACTCTATCATATCATCCAATTTCATTCTCTTCAGAGCTCGTTGACACTAAAATTCTATCACTCTGTTATTCTTTACTGGTTTATCCTTTGTCTCCCCAACTCCAGTGTAAGATGCTCTGTCTGCCCAGTACCTAGAACAGCACCAGGACAGAGAGGGTGGACAATAAATATTTGTTGAATAAATGAACCCCCACTCCCAATGGCCCTGCCTCAGCTGGACTCATCCTGCCCCAGAGCTCTGCCCGTGGTCCCCACAGGACCCCCTCCATTCCAGTGAACCTCTCTCTGTTGCCCCAGCTCTGTGCCAACCTGGACACGTGGTGCATCATGTCACCCCATAACCACCGCCCCCAGCTGCAGGAGCTCAGCCCCCAGCACTGCAAACAGTACGATCTCTGCCAAAGGCGCAGCTGGGTATGTGTAGGGAAGGGCCGGGGTCGGGGAGGTCTGGTGTGAAATGAGGGCCCCTGGGGTTGAGCCCTGACTCCACCCTCACTAGCTCTGTGAATTCAGGTTACTTGCTTATATGTCTGAGCCTCCAAGTCTCCTTTCTGTGAAATGGGGCAGATACAGCCCATGCCCACAGCCTCTGGTTTGACTCAGATGCCACTGTGGGCATCTGTCAAAACCCTGGGCATGCCGTAGAGTGCTTTGCAAACCATAAAGCTGGGGCGCTGTGTGCCGAGGCTGTTCCGAGCTCTATCCTGCGGTGCCCACACTGTCTGGTGCTTGCTATGACAGGGCTGGGCAAGGACTGGACATCACTGTGCTCAGGCCAGAGATCAAGGGCACATAGAGGGAGCAGACCAGCAGGAGCCATGCAGGAAACTGACCCTGCCTCCAGCCAGGACTCCTCCTTCACACCCCAGCCGGCCTCCCTCTCGAGCTCCCTCCTCGCCGACACCGACAGTACAAGGCTTCATGCGGAGATCAGCGCCCCCACTGGGTGCCCATTCCCCCGATGTGTATGGGAACCCGCGCACTCTTCTCGTCCAGGACCCGTTTGCAGACAAGCTGAAGAATCTCATGGACCAAGTCCACAACCAGCTGGAGATGCCCGAGTTGAGCCGGGACTTCGGGACGCAGGTGTATGAGCAGCAGGTGGTGGAGCTGAGCCAGACTGGTGAGAGGGGTCGCCCGGGTGGAGGGCTCGGCGGCTCGGCCGCTCGGCGGGCTGGACAGGGCCTGCCTGGGCGGAGCCTTTCGGGGGCGGAGCTAAGCCTTTCGGGGGCGGAGTCTAGGCGGGGCGGGGGCACCCTGGAGGGGCGTGGCCGCTCAGACCTTGAGCCTTCTGCCCGCCCTCAGCGGCGGAGGCAGGGCTCCAGCAGCGGCGGGTGTACGCGCTTCACCTGCGGCGCTACAACGACGCGCTGCTCATCCATGACACGGTCCGCGCCGTGGACGCCCTGGCCACGCTACAGGATTTCTACGACCGAGAGCGCGCCACTAAGACGCAGGTCCTGCGTGCCGAGCGCTGGCTGCTGGCGCTGTTCGATGGTGAGGCTCGCGAGGGAGGAGGAAGGGGTGGGAACTGGACCATCGGTCAGAGGCCAGCCAGGGCACAGGCGCCAACGCGGGTTGGGAAGGTGCCATTGAGAGTACTGGGGCCCTATTTTTCTAACCGAAAGTCAAGGCCGTGGATATGACGAGATGTCTACCCTCATTTGTGAAGGTTTGCGTAGATGTAACAACTAACTCATGCTATTGACAAAGGTTTTTTAAAAACCATTTAATTGGGACTGTCCCTGAAAGTCTGGGGTGTGTGGTACCTTTGAACTGGGAAAATGAGGAGGTCAGAGGGTGAAATTTAAGGCTAGAGGCCCCAGCACAGGCTGGGGGGCAAGGATCTTTCTGAAAAGACCTGAGGTGGAGTCAGTCTTTTGGTAGCGAAAGTCAGCATGAAAAGGTCAAGGGTTGGGGCTGGCCTGGTGGTGTAGTGGTTAAGTTCACACGCTCTGCTTCAGCAGCCCGGGGTTCACGGGTTCAGATCTCAGGCTTGGACCTGCGCACCACTCACCTAGCCGTGCTGTGGCGGTGTCCCATATATAAAGTAGAGGAAGATTGGCACGGATGTTAGCTCAGCGACAATCTTCCTCAGCTGAAAAAAAAAAAAACAAAACCCAGAAAAAGGTCAATGGCCATCCTGGTAGTTAGGTTGAAGAAGAGTGCTGGCCTGAGAGTATGTAGGCAAAACATTCTATACAGTAGGCCCCTGGTGTAAGGCTGGCTGGCAGAAGGTGTCCTTCAATGTGCTCAAGAGGACTTAGGCAGGAGCAGTATCCTCAGGCCCCCTTTGTAGTCCTGCACTCCTATCCCTGTGAGCACCCCCCCACACCCTGTCCAGCCCACCTCCAGGCCTGAGTCCTGTGCCTGTTTTGGGCTTTTCTGGCAGGCCACAAGAATGAGCTGGCCCGCCTGGCGACTCATGGCCCAGAGAACCCCAAACTGGAGGTGCTGGAACAGATCCTTCGGAAGCAATTCGGGAGCTCCGAGAGCCCCCGGGGCATCATCTTCACCCGAACCCGCCAGAGCACTCACTCCCTCCTGCTCTGGCTCCAGCACCAGCCTGGCCTACAAACAGTGGACATCAGGGCCCAGCTGCTGACCGGGGCTGGGAACAGCAGCCAGAGCACCCATATGACCCAGGTATGGGCTTTGGGGAAAGGAGCGGAGGCTGGGGGGCTCCCTAGAGGAAAAGGGGACGGGACGGGGTCTTCACAGAGAGATGGGGGGTTGATTATCCCAAGGCAGAGAGCAGAGAGCTGGGGGAGAGAGGTGGACACTGAGATCCTCAGTGTTGAAGGTTTCCCCAGTCTGGGGTTCCCGGTGGGGCAGAAAGGCAGAGGCTCACGGATCTTCCAGGAAAGAGGTGAGTGATGTCCTCGGGACAGAGGATCAGGGGTCTGGGGTTCCTTGCAGGAGAAGACTAGGTCCTGAGAGCTCCTAGAATAGAGAGGCAGGCACCCGTAGGAGTCCCTAGGGGAGAGAGGGGTTAGGTGGTCACCTGGGAAGACAGGCAAGATCCTGGGGGAGGTGCGGGGGAGGTATTTGGAGATAGATGTGGAGACTCAGGGCCCTTAGGAAAAGAGCCAAGATTGTGAGTAAAAGGGCTGAACCAAGAGAGACTGGGCTGGCAGGAGGGTAGGCCTGACCCCACCTCATGTACCATCCTCTTTCTCCTCCCCCATCCCCAGAGGGAACAGCAAGAAGTGATCCAGAAATTCCGGGTTGGCACCCTGAACCTCCTGGTGGCCACGAGTGTGGCGGAGGAGGGCCTGGACATCCCCCAGTGTAACGTGGTGGTGCGCTATGGGCTCCTGACCAATGAGATCTCCATGGTCCAGGTGCCCAACCACCCCCTGCCAACAGCCCTCAAGGGATCCTGGGTGGGACCCCAGCCCCACTCAGGCTCCTCCCTTATCTCTCTCTCTCCAGGCAAGGGGCCGTGCCCGGGCTGGTCAGAGTGTGTACTCGTTTGTGGCAACTGAGAACAGTCGGGAGCTGCGGCGGGAGCTGACCAACGAGGCACTGGAGGCTCTGATGGAAAAGGCAGTGGCTGCTGTGCAGGAGATGGACCAGGCCGAGTACCAGGCCAAGGTCTGTGGGCAGCCCGTCCACCCTGCGGGGAGAGGGGCTGAGGATGCTCTGCCTGGAAGGTCTCTGATGCACACACATGCACACTCCTCTTCCTCTCTTGGCCCACGCGGGGAGCATTTGAGTGGAGAGATGGGAAGAGGCCAGGGGTGGGGCTGCCAGCGAAGGCAATGGCTGTTCTCCAAAATGCCTTGGGAACAGGCCTTCTCCAGGGCTTTTAATTTATCCTCGTCACCAAATACTTTGGTGTATCTGTGAGAGCCACCTTACAGCCTTTCTGCAACCAGGCAGAGGGGAAACAAACAAAGACACACACACAAATAAGCCAGAACCAGGACTTAAATCAGTTCCCCTGAGGCAGGGTCACCATCGTCCAGCCTCACCCAAAATGGTCCGTGTTTACTCCTGTTGTCTCAGCATAATTATTAACGATGCTCCATGTTAGATTCAAAGAAGCAGCTTTGTACAAAATCCTCCAAAGCAGGGGCAAAGATTCAGCAAGAAAGCTTGCCCCACTACCCCTCCACGGAGCTGCTTCTAAAAGCTCCAGGGAGGGTTGAGGAAAGTTCCTTCTGGGTACTAATGATCTGAGGTCTTTGGGAGCCCTTTGTCCCCCCAGGAGCATTCCTGGGGGCCAGTGTCTTGGGCCCCAGCCATGCATAGTGTCCTCTCCCACCCCAGATCCGGGATCTGCAGCGGGCAGCTGTGGTCAAGCGGGCAGCCCGGGCAGCCCAGCAGGAGAGTCGGCGGCAGCAGTTCCTGGCGGACCAGGTGCAGCTCCTCTGCATCAACTGCATGGTGGCCGTGGGCCATGGGAGTGACCTGCGGAAGGTGGAGGGCACCCACCACGTCAACGTGAACCCCAACTTCTCGTGAGACCTGCGAAGGGGCTGTCAGGATGAGAGGGAGGGAGGAGTGTGAAGGGGGACTGAGAATCTCTCCCAACCAGACAGTGCTTTGGGAGTTTGGGAAGTTAAAGAGCAATTTTTTTTTTTTCCTGAGGAAGAGTCGCCCTGAGCTAACATCTGTGCCGGTCTTCCTCTATTTTGTATATGGGTCACCACCACAGCATGGCTGACGAGTGGTGTAGGTCTGCACCTGGGAACCAAACCCCTGAACCCAGGCCACTGAAGCAGAAAGCACTGAACTTAACCACTCAGGCCATGGGGCCAGCCCCAGTTAAAGAGCATTTTCACAAGCACTGAGTTTGCACTTTCACGATAGTCTGGTTAGACAGGTTTTATCACCACTCCATTTTACAGATGAGGAAACAGAGGCTCAGAGAGGCTAAGTGACTTGCACAAGCTCCCACAGCCACTCTGTGGTTGAGCAAGAGCTGGAATTCAGGATGCCAAATGCTGAGGGGCCAAAGCTGGCCCCGTGGGTCCTACCTACTCTGAAGACATCAAGAGGGGCTGGCTGTCCCTGAGCCATCCCCTCATCCTCTACCCCTAGAGGGTAAGCTTCCCCCATCTTCTCTCCATTCATTCATTCAGTAAGTATTTATTAGGCACCTACTGTGTGCCAGGCCACTGTGCCAGATCTTCACACAGGTTCTTTCACGTGAGGAGGTAGCATTTCGGCTAGGTCTGGAAGGGTGGATTGGATTGGAATGTGAGATGAGTATAGGCGGAGGTGATGCGACAGGAGTAGTTCTGGTGGACTTGAGTGGAAGAGACTGTGAAGGGTGAGATTCTGAAGGAAGACAGACCAGCCTGTGGAGGACCTTAAAGGTCGGGCCTGAAAGTTTAGCCTTTATCCTGTCGGCAATGAGGAGTCTTGGATGGATTTTGAGCAAGGGAATGTCAGGGTCAGATTTACATTTTCAGAAGATCGCTCTAAAAGGTCACTCATTTTAGAAGATCAGCTGGCGGAAGGGTGGCATGGGGTTGGGAGTAAGGATGGAACGGGATGGAAGGATGGGGCAGGGAGATCCCTCGGGAGGCTGTTGAAATCATCCAGGCGGGGCGTGCTGAGGCCTGAACGTGGGCAGGAGGGAGTGCAATGGAGGCAGCACAGGCAGAGCTTATTGAAGATCGGATTTCCTGGCCCCGGGAAGTCTCCGGGCCTCTTGACAGGCAGAAAGGCCCAAGGCCCAGGCAGAGGCTCAGCAAGCAGAGGGCACGAGACCTGGGGACAGGGCGGGTGTCCATGAGCGCTGTGGCCCCTCTCCTTCCTCTCCAGGATCTACTACAAAGTCTCCCAGCAGCCAGTGGTCATCGACAGAGCCTTCAAGGACTGGAGGCCTGGGGGCGCCATCAGCTGCAGGAACTGTGGGGAGGTGAGTCCTGGGGCCATGGCCCTCAGCTCCAGTGTTCAGAAGCCTGTGTCTGAGAGAGGAGGCCCAGCCTCTGCCATCAGGGTGCCCCCACGGGCATGGGGGGGGCAGCCCTGTCCCAGGAGCCCCTAATCTGAGGAGAGTGGTCCAACCCCTGTCTTAGGGAGCCCACAGTGTGATAGCTCTCAGTCTGAGGTGGGAGACATAGGCCTTGCATTCCTGGACCCCAACTTGAGGAGAAAAGCCCAGTCCGAGGACAGAGACCCACGCCCAGCTGTCTCTGTCCCTCCCCAAGGCCTGGGGTATGCAGATAATCTACAAGTCAGTCAAGCTGCCGGTCATCAAAGTCTGCAGCATGCTGCTGGAGACCCCGCAAGGGCGGGTCCGGGCCAAGAAGTGGTCCCGCGTGCCCTTCCCCGTGCCTGACTTCGACTACCTGCAGCACTGTGCCCAGAGCCTGTCGGACCTCTCCCTGGACTGACCACCTTGTCGCTGCAGTGCCCGGCTCAGGCTGCAGGGGGCAGGAGAATCCGCAGCAGCCACCATCTTCCCCTGGGCAAAGCCTGGGTCCCGGCCCCTCCTGCCTGAGTCACCAGCTCAGGGCACTGTGCTGACCAGCCACAGAGGAACCCCAGGAGCCCAGGCTGGCTCAGACTGCCACACTGAGGAAGCTGCTGGAGGGCCATAGCTCATCCCCAGACCCCACTCACACCACACAGACACTTGCATACACACTGGATGGAGGGGAAACTGAGGCAGGACAATGGCCACACTGTACTAGGAATCAACACAGCTTCTCTTGGCCCCTCAACATTCCTTCCCTGCCAAGGCTACTTCTGTTTTTTGAGGCTCCCCATAAAAGTAAAGAAATGGAATATTGGTGTAGAAAATGTGTGGTATTTTAAAACAGATTTGTTGAGGTATAATTGACATCAAATAAACTGTACATATGTATCTATAGTGTCTAATTTGATGTTTTAATGTTTACATGTTCTCCCCCAATCAAGATAATGAACATAGCTGTCAACCTCAAAAGTTTCATTGTTCCCATTGTAATCCCTCCCTCTTCCCTCTCCCCGTCCACTGATCTGCTTTGTGCTACATTTTTAATGTTAAAAGTTTTTTTAACACCCCACTTTATGGCTCCCATGTAACCTTATTTGGAGAGAGCATCAAAAGTCTAAATTTGAGAGCCATCAAGAATGAGGCCTTCCTGCCTCCTACACACGGTAATAGGCTCCAACCCCAATGCCCCCCCTCCACCTTCTCTTAATCCCCAGGTCATCTGCCCTGGGCTGGGGAGAGGCTGAGAACCAGGATTTGTGGAGTGGGGTCCAGGTAGGCATGGGGGTGGGGAAAGTTGTAAAGGCCTAAATTTTCTGTTCTCATTTTAGCAGGAAAGAAAGAAAGAAAAAGAAAGGCAAGATCTAGGTTGATTCTTCAGGGAAAGGGCTATTTCTGTAGTAAGAGGCCCAGCAGGCAGGAGTCACCTTCAAGAGCAAGGGAGGGGGCTAAACAGAGATTTGAGAGCAGGATGGCAGTCCTTCCTGCCATCTAACCTCCTTCCCTCCTGCTACATCCTTGGTCCTGCCTCAGGGTAGATGGGAAATAGTGCTCTCTCCTTCTCCCAGCATCCTCTTTCATCAATCCACCACCTCTTGTCCGATTGAGGGCTGAAATTCCAGTTCGTCTTTGGGCCTCCATCCCCCCAGAGTGGTCCCCTCTTGCCCAGGGCCCTTATTCCTCCTAATCTCTAGTGTCCCTTGGCCCTGGCTCCAGGAGTCACCCTTCTCCTCCCTCCTGTCCCATCTCCACCTCCTGGGGCCCCTTCTTTGGCCCATCTGCTCCCCACCTTGCCTTCAGTTGTTCTCTCCTCTGCCAGTAACATGCCTTTTTCAGTTCAATAAAATTAGCGACTGGGGGCAGAAGAAGCGGGGCAGGAGCCCAGGGGTGCTAAGCTCAGTGGCCTTGAATGCGGCTGGACACACGGAGTCCGGACGCCTGTCATTCCAGGGCTAAACAGTGACAGCTGAGGGACCTGAGCTGGTGTTGGGGGCAATGGGGCAGCTGTGTTGCAGGGAGAGATGGACTGATGATAAAGATGACCTGGGCACCTAATGGTCTGCTCAGTGGCCTGAGCCCCTAAATACACAGCTGACCCCTAGATGAGGGACCTTGACTTTAGAAGGGGTGTCCTGTCTGGCACCCACCTTGCCAGGCTGGGAGAGCTTTCTTAAACTCAGATGGAAGGGGCAACTCAGGCAACGAGGGGTTCCCGGGGTTTCCACTTCCAGTGAGGGGGTCTTCATACGGAGCCACTGCCTCCAGGGCATCTGGGCAAAGCTGCGCGAAGGAGGGGATTTTGTGAGGTTCTCAGGACCCAGGCATCCTAACTTACCAGCCTCAGAAAAGCCAGAGCTCCAGAACCTGCCTAGCGACCTAGATGCTCCCCGCTTTCTGCCCACCTGCATAGGCTGGCCCGCCCCACCCGGCTGAGACTCAGAGAAGGGCTCAGCCGCGGCTCCCCCTCCCAGGCCCCGCCCCCGGGCCGGGCCCCGCCTCCTCCCCCGCCAGCCCGAAGCCGCTGCGCTCCGGAGCGCGGCGAGAGCAGGTGGCGCGGCGGGCTCGGTCTCTGCCCAGCAGGTAAGTCAGCGACGAGGGCTGGTCCATGCTGAGGACCTCGAGGGCAGCGCGGGAGAACAAAGCAGCCTCTTCCACCTGTCCTGTGCCCTCGTCTCTAAACTGGGGGACCCTAAAGGACAGCGCGCCGACGCTGGGCATCTAGCGGGTGGGACTAAACTCGGGAGAAGTTTAGAGGGTCTCGGCTGGCTATGCCCGATGCCGGGGCGGGCTCCGAGGGATGGGAAAGGACAGAGCCGAGCATTGGGCGCGCAGCTTTCTGGAGAAGGGTAGGTCGGGGGTGGTGACTGCAGGGCACCGGGTAACGAGCCTCATTGACTCGGCTGTGCCCCGTGCCTCATCCAAGTGAGGCAGCATCCTACCCCCTCCCTTAGGAATGATGGAGTGACCCAAACGGTTTCTGTTCTGTGGGCAAATGAGGTAAGAGCCGCTGCCTAGCTGAGCTGGGTCCTGGGTTTCCTGGTGAGCCCCAGGGCACCTGCATCTTGCATTTACACCTGGGTACTGATGTGCCTGGGTGAGGGAGCAGGGGATCCTCCCAATGGCCTGGGGAACCCAGAGAGCCTGGGGACTGAGTAGATCTCTGTGTCCATGTATCAGAGCCAAGTGGGGGAGGTGATCACAGAAGTGGGCCTTATAGTAGATGTGGGGTTCATTTGCACCCTCCATATTTGGATTTGGGCTGTAGGAAAAGGGTCCTGCCTCCTAGGACCTTAAGGAAGTCTTCCTGGAAGAGAAGATCCTGGGCTGACAGCTTAGATGTGATGCGTAGAGCTCTGAGCCACAAAGGAGAGTCAGACTTTGGGCCTTGGTGCTGGGTTGGGGTAGAGCATAGGACCCAGGACTGTAGAACAGAGGGAGGTCAGTATGCTGCCATCTGGATTCATCCAGGACCCCATGGACCTCCCAGGGATCATCACAAGCCTAGGGACAGACGGAGATCCACCTCAGGTGGGAGAGCTTCCTGTGTCTGTCTAGTTTCCCCATTCCATTGTCTCCCTCCATCACACACACTATCGTTGTCAGGAAGTTCTGTCTCATATCTGACCTTCATCCCTTCTGCTTCTGTGCCAGCTCCTTGCTTCTATGTGCTATAGTCGAAAGAGCGGGGGCTTTGGGGTCAGTTAGACTTGAGTCCCATCACCTGTGCTTACTGTGTGCCCTTGGGCAAATTACTTAACCTCTTTGAGCTCGCTTCCCCACCTGTAAAATGGGGATAATAATAGAACCCACCTCATAGAGTGGCTGCAAGGATTAAATGAGAATACGCACGTAGAGCGCTTAGCCCAGTGCCTGGCGCCTGGTGAGGGCTCAGCCAGTATAAGTGTCCCCTCATGTGTGGGACAGCAAAGCCGGTCTGCGGGAGGGGTGGTGGTGGTGGGGGTTGGAAGTTTTTTTTAAACTTGGCTAGAGAGAGCAATGCCCTTCACCACTAGCACCCCACCAGCCCCTGCCCCCTGCTGGTCTCTGGATCTCCGCTGGTCCTGTCTGGGCTGCCCAGGGCCCCTGGCCTCCTTCTCTCTTAGTTGCCCTGTTTTTTTGTCTCCAGGGTGAGCAGAGGGGACCCAGCAGGGCAGGGACCAGGGGCAGCAGGAGCCCACTTGGGGCTGTGCCTCTGGGGAGCAAATGGGCTTAGAGACCCAATGAGAAAAAATGCCTGGTTGTCATCACCTCCCTGCCCTCCCCACTCCAGAAATCCACAAGATGGGATCAAGCCGCACTAAATTTTTCCAGGAAGATAAATAATACAAGAGATTGCAGGTCCTGTTTGGGGATTGTCCAAGCTGCCCTCCACTGGAAAGACAGCTTCAGTCCCTGGCCTGAGCTGGGAGGCTGCCGGGGAAGGCTGGGTCTGGAAAGCACTCTTAAACCTGGGCAAGGGAGGGTGTGCCCGTGCCCTCGCTGGGCGCTTTCAAGGGCTCCGCTCTGGCCCTCCTCTGGCTGTCCCTCTCCCTGTGGGGTGAGGAGTCAGCAGGGCCAAGTGGATGAGCTTGTGCGTCCCCTTCAAGACCATATTCTCCAGACCTGTGACTCTGGAGCTCCCTGCCCAGATGGCCGCCAGCTTGCTCTCAGCCCATGCCAGCCTCTTCCCTGGGCCCGTTCTCCTCAGGGCAGGTTATGCTACTAGCGTGTGCACCCCCATACCTGAGGAACGACTGAAGACAGCTAAGGGGCAGCTGTTTGCTGGGCGTGAAGGTGGAGCTGGGATGTGAGGCTGGGTGTCCACATACACGCGTATGAGTCCCTTGCGGTGCAGAGAGTTGCTGGCAGTAGCAAGGGAGGTTGTTGGCTGGGGCCAGGGTGGGAGTGGAGCTCTCTCTCCCTACACAGCCCTGTTCTCCTGCAAAACTCCCAGGAGTCAGAAATCTAAATTGGAATCTGGTCTTTCTGGTCGTTATGAAAGTGTATTTGTCAAAGTGGGAGCTTAGGACATATTTTCCTTAACAGGTTGTTAGCTCGACTTATAACTTTTAAATATTTAGACACGTGTATGTGGGCCCCCGTTTGTCCTCTTGCCCCAGGCCTTGCAAAGTTAGGGATGGGTCTGGCAGCAACCGTGACCCAAAATGCTATTTTGGTGAATTCCCTTCCTGTTCTCCCTTTCCCCCAGTGCAGTAGCGCCCCTGTAAAATTGGGCTTAGGACACACCCACCCGGACCAGGAAGGAGTTTCAAGGTGAAATGAAGGCTGTCAGCTGTCACCAACAAGCGGTTCCCCCTTGGGCCTCCTGACCTCATTCTCTACCCCAAAATTGGGACAATTTTTTTTTCAAATGTCCTATGATGCTTAAGAGGGAAGGGATGAGGGGGAGAGAGGTTGCTTATCTCCTGAGTGTGGGGAGGGTGTGGGCTCTCACTGGACCCAAGGAGCAAGGAGGGAGCCAAATGGGGCTGCAGCAGCAGGAGGGATGGAAGTTAGACTGGGAGAAGATCAGGGCTGGACCCCACCATCCCTCCAGCTGCCCTTCTCAGAGGGAGCTGCGCCCGCCGCCAGGAAGGGGGGCCATGTGTCTGTAATGTGGGTCCTCCCGTAAGTTTGGATCTTGAGCTTTGGGTAGGGAGAGTGTGGGGGCCAGCTGGCCAGGTGGTGGGAGTCATCCCTGGCAGGAATGAATGGCATGTTGGTCTCAGCTGTAGTTGAGTGCCCTGTGGCACCTGGACACACCGTCTGTTCAGAAGAGAGAGTCACGCAGCCTTTTTGTGGCCGTCCCTGACTCGCTCATTGATTCTGATTGGGCTGTTTGTGGATCAAACCTGCCACCTTGGCCTCATTAGTGCTGTGAAGTGCTCGATGGAACTGGACACACGCACACTCACACTCAGACACTCTCACACACCCGGCATGCGTGCCCACCGACACTAACTCACAGATATTGCTGTATACAGTTGCACACCCCTCAACACCGCTTCAAGTGCAGTCTCGGGTATGGGTCCCCCGCAGACCCTCCCTGACACGTGCACTTTGCCGACCATGTGCCTTCCCCACAGTCACTCTCTCTCCCCCCATCAGTGACTTTGCATTCACCTTGGGTGACCTGCCAGCTCCACTGGCCAGGGGTTGGCTTACTTGAGGGTGGCTGGGGGCCAGGCGCCTGCAGCGGTTTGGTGTTGGGGACAGGAGGCAGCGGCACTGCCCTCTTGGGACTCCCTGCAAACCCCACCGAGCCCAACATTTGGCACCTCTGCTCCCCAAGTCCCACAGCAGAGTCTCCAGCCCTGAGTCTCTCTCAGTCTGTCTGTCCCTGTGTAGTTCTGTGAGCCTCTGTCTGCCTCTCAGCCTGTAAGTGTGTCTGTCCCTGTGTGCCCTGCATGCTCTCTGCTCGGTCCTTCCCCACCTCCTGTGCCTGTCATTTTCTGTCTTTCTCCTCTCTCCCTGTCTCTGAGTCTATCTTTTTCTGTCTTGCTCTCTTTCTCTTTTCTCTGGATGTGAGTCTCTGTCTCTCTCTTTTTCTGTGTGCGTCTCTGCCCTTTTGTCTCCGTCTCTCTGTCACACACACACACACACACACACTTCCTCACTCTCAGTCTCTCACCTTGTCTCTCTGTCTCTGATTCTGTGGCGTCTCTCTAGTTTGTCTTTCTGTGTCTCTGTTTCTGTCTTTATCTCTCCCTCTCTGCCTCTAAGTCTGTGTGTCTCTCCGATCTCTCTGTCTTACTCTCATGTGGCGCCCCAGGGGAACAAGAGAGCCAGATGTCCCTGGGTGTGTAGAAGAAAGGGACAAAGCATCCCGGGGGGCTGCCATGACTTCTGGGCCCCTCCACTCCAGACAAAGAGGGGAAGGGGAATATCAGGCTCTGGAGAGGACAGAGGTCAGCCCATCTGCCCTAGCTCCTTTGCTGAGAACTTAAGCATATGGGGGCTTTGGCTCCAGACTCTGAAATGTTGTTCTTTAGTGACAAGGCCCAGGGTCATAGGCCTGGGAGCAGGGCTGGGGGGTCAGAGTGACAAGGGAGAGAGCCCCTCATCTGTCTTGTTGACCTGATTGACCTTGGGCCGAGCGAAGGGTGTTGAGGACTGGGAGTCTCCCGCAGAAGAGGCGTTGACCAGAGTGGGGCGATTTGACACGTTGCTTTTTCCTCGAAGCAGCCAAGCTCTACTCACCCACCCCAGGCCCCAGCTTCCTTCTCCAAACCACCACGGTGCTCCCCACCCTGTTCTAAACATTTCCGCCAACTGCCCCAGGGCCAAGGGGCCTGTTCAAGCCGCCTCCCTGCCCTCTCTTCCTGCCTCTCCACCTTCGCGGGCCTCTCCTCGCTGCCGCTGCTGTGGCTTCTTACACAGGAGCGGCTGTGTTGGCTGTTTATTTGACTGAAGTTTCCTTGGGTGGGGTGAGGACCAACTCCACAGCTCCTTCTCCCCACTTCAGATGCCCGGGCAAGAGGCCAGGCCGGCCCCACTGGGTCCCACTGCCCTCCCCCCGGCCCCCACGTGCCTCTCCTACATCCTCAGGCCCCAGACTCCTCTACTCTCCTAATCTCAGGTCTGTCGACTCCTACTTCTGA